CTTCTGGCGCTCACTCTCTCTCTCTCTCTCTCTCTCTCTTTCTCTCTCTCTCTCTCCATCCGCTGGTCCGCTTGTTGCGCGTTCAGCACTCGAGAGCGCGCAACGCGTGTCTGCCTCTGCGTGCGCACGTGTTTTTATGTGTGTGTGTGTGCGCGCGCGTGTGTTTATGTGTGCGCGTGTGTACGTGTGCAGAGGCAGGGAGAGAAGCAGGGAGAGAGGGGGCTTCGACTATATGATCAAGGTTTGTCTGAGTGAGCAACAATAAGCTGCTGTGTAGGCAAAAGGAAAATATGGAATAAACAGCGGCTCATGTTTATTTAGACCGCTGTGTCTTTTCACAGGTCTGACCTGCGCGGATTCATGTTTAGCATTTACGTTTCTCCAATGACAAGAACACGAAGAAAGAGGAGCTATTGTTTTTGCTGTGCAGCACAGCGACCACAGGCATTTGCAGTATTTCCTCTGGAAGAGCTTTGTGTGGAGCTGCTCTGACAGAGATTGTTACCTATCTGTCAACCTGTCCATAACACTGGACGCTTGGAAATAAATCATCATGCCACTGCCATTTATAACGCACATCAAACCAGTCACTCCTTGATGACACCTGATGACATTCTGGTTTCATCATCTGTCTCTGCAGATGCACTTTTACCCCATCTGCTCCTGCCATTAGATTACTCCTATAATGCAAAAAAAGCCCTCCACTGCTTTTCGGATTTGCATTTTGGAGGAGAAGTACTGTGGTTAAAGCTCAGGTCACTCTGAGCATAAGAAGGAAGAAAACCTTCTCGTCTGTTGATAGATTATGAGCTGTTGCAAATGCTAAAAGCCTCATCTCTGCAGTTTACATGTGAGAGGAAGCATGCAAAGGCTAAACACGGTCCTCAGTATGAAAGAGGCTGAGTCAAAGGAAATCACTGAAAAAGCCAGTTTCTACATAATTTTACTTGACTCCCTTTGAATAGCTCTGATTGCTTCTTGTGTAGTCGATAAAGTGGAGCTAGACTTCATAAACACTCAAAGCACAACAGTCCCTAACAAAATTATTTTAATGGTACTGAATAATTCATTGATTTCAGATTATGCATGGTGTGTTTTGATTGGATGGTACAAATGATCATGTAAAAAGAAGTGCATTGCATTACAGAGCTGTGTCGTTGAAAATGGAGAAATGGTTAGAATAATCTCCTGGGTATCATAAAACAAGCCATAATGGCAAGACTTGGCTCAGACCTAACCTTGGCTTGACTGTGTACTTGGCAACATTCAAAGACATTAAAAGACAGCCAATTCTAAGCTGAGGGCAGCATTGGTCGGCAGTATTCAGATTTCCTTTAGATAGTGTTTTACATTACTTTTTATTGGTTGTTGGCATATCCATAGCCCAAACTAATGTTAGACCACAGCTGTTGCTTAGCGCTGATAAAGAAAGCAAAGCACAGTCACAGTAACATCAGTTAGGTATTTCTACTTCTTGTAAAGGATGACAAACATCTGTATTTTCTGACTTTCAGCTATGAAAAGGTTTGTTTGGTCTAAACAAACCTGTGTTACATTGGCTGCATCTGTAGAAGACCGTGTCAAAGCTTTAATAACTAATCATGGCAACCTCGGGAAAGTTCAGTCAAGTCCTCTGGTTGTTGGTCTCCATCATAATGGTAACCCTCCTCTGTCTTTGTTGACCTCTGCATCCTCCTCCCCCCCTCTGTGCTTTTTTTTCTTCTTTTTCTTCTTCTCATCTTCCACTTTGTACTTCAGTCTCCTCACAGGGTCAGTCCAGCTGCGCATGGACTTCTGCTCAAAGTCCTCACTGATCATAAAGCTCCTGTCGATGAGCTCTGCTGCTTCCTGCCAGTTGCGGTAGCAGTCTGGGCCGAGGCTGAGTATCTCCTCCACTGCATTACGGATGAGGATGGAGCAGTCGGGACGCAGCACCACCACAGTGGGCAGCTCCTCCACATTAAACATGGCCTCCAGCTCCCTGTGGACACACACACACACACACACACACACACACACACACACACATTGGCCCAAACATTGGCAAAGGCTAATGGATTTACACAGCTAGGTGTATTTACATTACAATCATCCACCAGCAGGTTGTGCACACAACTAACTGGCCAATCCCACACACCTCCTGTAGGGGTCCTCGTAGGCCAGGAACAGGCACCTCTTGGGCAGCTCTTTGAGAAAGGTTTCTTGCTCGTCCTCTGACTCGTCCAAACTAATGGATGTAACAAAAAGGAAGACCATGTTGCAAGGATGGACAGATAAACTTAAAAGCAAAAAAAAAACCTACCCAAATGTTGGTTTGCATATTCCTTTTCTTTATGAGGACATTTGGTCCTCACAAAAATAGCAATACACATATGGGCAATGACTGAGAAATAGAAGGACTATCAAAATTCTCTCATCTGAGGATATTTTACTGGTCTTTCTCATTATCAAGAGATACAAAGAGATTATAGTAATATATATATATATACATATATATATATATATATATTATAATATATAATTTATTTGGAGAATGAATGTGATTTCATTGCCAGTTAATGCAAGTCCTAAGTACTAACAACACCCTAATGCTTAACGGTGTGTGTGGTGTGTGTGTGTGTGTGTGGTGTGTGTGTGGTGTGTGTGTGTGTGTGTGGTGAGAGTGTGTTGTACCTAATGTACAGGAGAACCAGCTGAGCAGAGCGATCCACATAGGATTCATCTGTCAAGCGTTTGAAGAAGTCGGCGAGCGTGGGCGCAAACTGCTGGCAGCTCTCACAGGCAGCAGATGCAAAGAAGAGCATCAGGATGCGGTTCTGCAGGCGCATGACAATCTCACGCTCTGTGTCCAGCTCATCCTGGTCCCTGTTGTTCTTTACCAGGACCCGGTCAACGAACAGGTCCACCATGGCCAAGAGTGACCAGAAGGAGGGCTGAGGCTTACAGGAAGGTACAGGGAGAGATGAAACAAAGAATTTATGTACACTGGTTTGACAGGGAAATCTACTTTAGTGAGACAAAAGGATACTTGTGAACGTTTTCACATGCATACATGTCCAGTATGAAGAAAGTGCAGACTATACAATATAGACTATACTATATATAATAATAACACACATGAGAATACCATTTATCTTGCATATTGTGTGATTTGACAACTCTTCCCTTTAAATTAGACTGTATGTATTCTACTCAGACAGACTTATAATACTCCCATTAATATTATGAGTCCATCTTGCAGGCTGTTAAATCGGATAATCCTCACAGTTGCTTACCTCTTACAAATATTATCTCCCCTTGAGGCCGCAAATCCAAAAAGAAAACAGACTTCAAAATATCGGGGTTTTTTCTCTTTTCTACTCTTCCTGGGTTGTACTTGAATCAGTTCCCAGCCTGTCAGTTCATATCACATTCACTCATTGACTGTGTCTCCTTCACCTTGATGGCAATAGCTGCTCACTCCCTCTTCCTTTGTGTCTCTGCGCTCCACCTCCTCCCTTCTGTCTGGGAGGGAGGGATTGAAAGGCAAGGTGACAGAGGGACAAGGGACATGAAGTGCTAGCAGCAATTGTGTGTGTGTGGGTGTGTGTGAAGGCAGTGACTGAGCGAGAAAGTATAGAAATTACAGAATGAGAGACATGTTTGAAAAAATAAAAAGACCTTAATGAAGTGAGCCACAGTGAGACCTTTATTATTCAGTAACTAAAGGAGGAGCAGAACCACAGGGAATGTCTGGTTACTGATAGTCGGATTCACTCTACTGAGAACACCAATATGGTCCATAAAGCCACAGCAGAGACACATAGACACAGTTTGTTGGCAGAATAGAGAATTTATTAATACAACTTATATTTATTTTTTTAGGACCAGTGTGTAGGATTTAGTGGCATCTAGCGGTGAAGTTTAAGATTGGAACTTGGGAGCATAAAAACTCCACACAAAGCCAGCAAGAAACACATAGCCATAACATATTATCACTATGTGCTAGAAATCTTTTGGTTAAACACTTGGGTTTTTATACATCCAGCAGACACGGAGCAACATTATCATTCATTTGAAGTTGTATTTCTGTCCTGATGAGTCCAATAAAATAAAATTCTCATCTTTCGCTCTGCTTAGTCTCCACCAGCTCCAGCACCAGAAAAAATATGTAGGTCTCTAGCTGCAAGATGTTAAACTTTCTTCAGTAGCATGTCGTTAACCTTGGTTGTTTGTCATTTGCTGCTGTGCAGCTGAAAACATCTGCCTGGTGCTGTGGGAAATGGGGTGGATGTGAATTAAATGACCTGAATGACCAGAAAACATTAAGCTAAAAGAGGTGAAAAAGAGTTGCACAGTTGGGTTAGTCTCTAAGAGTAACCCCTTTCTCACTACACATAGTCATTTGATCCACTGTGATTTGTGAAGCTTTAAATTGGGATTCTGGGGCTTATATAGACAGAAACCGTTTTAGACACATATATGAATGTTTCTGTGTTTGACTGAAAGATTTAAGTACCTTAGACTGGACTTGAATAAACACAAAAGCCTTATATATTTTTATATATGTGTGTCTTTTGTCTTCATCTTCTCCACCTTATTTCATTATCTCCGTCCTTTCTCTTTGTATCCCACGTTCCATCTTTCTCTTCCTCCTCTTCCTTTCCATCTTTGCCCTTCCCCCATGACTTCCACCATCTCTTTTTCCTCTTGTCGTCCTCTGTCTTGTACTTCAGTCTCCTCAAAGGGTCAGTGGTGCTACGCAGATTTAGGTTGTCAAACTCCTCGTTGAGCATGAAGCTCCTCTCAATAAGCTCTGCTGATTCCTGCCAGTCTCTGAAACAGTCGGAACCGAAACGACAGATGTCCTGCACAGCATTTGGAGTGAGGATGGAGCCATCAGGACGAAGAACCACTACTGTCGGTATGTCCTTCACCTTAAACATGGCTTGCAGTTCTCTGAAAAACAGAAAAATACATGCACACACAGGCATGGCAATGCTATTCAGCATGTATAATCAGTTTTATCAGTGTGTGTTAATGTATATTCTTCTATAACTTTAGAAATAAACTCAAATAGGTTAAACATACAAATGTATGCACATAAACAAATGTTATCTTCATCCACCTACATCCTGTATGGGTCCTCAAAGGCCAAAAACAGAACCTTTTTGTGCAGCTCTTTGAGGACTCTCTCCTGCTGCTCCTCTGATTGGTCCAAGCTGGAAAGAGGAGGTGGAAATGGAAATCTTAAGAATGATAAAACAGCGTGAATGTGGGTTTACGCAATCCCATGTGTGCATCAGAGAGATAAAAAAGAAGGAAAGATAGAGACCTGATGTAGATGAGTGCAAGCAGTTTGGGGTATTCAATGTATGCTGGATCTTTCAGTCTTTTAAAAAAGTCATTCAGAACAGGCAGAAACTCTTGGCACTTGTCACACTTAGTAGATGCAAAGAAGAGCATCAGGATGCGGTTTTCGAGGATACCGACAATCTCACGATCCGTGTTGAGTTCATCCTGGTCCCAGTTGTTCTCCACGAGAACTCGGTTTAGGAATAGGTCCACCATGATGAAGGAAAGGGATGGGAAAAGTTCTCTGTGGAGAAGAGATGGTGAAACACAGATACATGTGTGATCTTTATCATGGCTAGCGCAGTTCATTCATTACCTGCATTCATGCAATCTACACCCCAAATGAAAAAGCTACGTTTACACTGTTATATCATTAAGAGATCCTCTGAGGTTTCAGTGTAGTCTCAGGAGTTTAACTTTACAGACTTTCACCATCTCAAAGAGGATGAGTGTGAAGTTTTTGCATACAGCTATGATACATTCATATATTTGGGAAGCGCAATCACACTGTAGCAGAAAGAGAATTTTTTCCAAATTGTAAAAACATGCATTGTGGCTGCCTTGCATTATAGTGCATTAGCCCTTAAAAACTTTAAAATATTGGGTATTTCTTTCTAGAATTAAATATTTATGACTGAATAAGAAAGAATACAAATTAAAGGAAAAACATCTTTATCTTAAGAGTTTTACCATACAAGAACTCTGCTTCATCAAGACTTTGATTTACAGTGGCAGCACAAATGATTGTCATTTAAATGTTGCTTAACAAAAACAGTTCTTCTCATATAGGAGTCAATCACTCAGCATTAAAGTCTGCTTATATTTCTTCCATATTTATCCTGAACAAAGCACTTTATTTATATAAAACACATCATTCTGCCGGTGCGGCAGAGGAAGCTTTTTATAGATATTCGGAAAACAAAAACAGCTTTCAGGTAAAACTAGTTTTATTTTATATACGTATACATAAAAATACATGAACAGTGAACCTTCATTCTGTACATGAAGAAACACTTCTCTGCCACCTCTAACTTTGATTACAACAAGAGTAATTGTTTTCTTTTAATTGAGGGAAAACTGCAGATACAGGTCTGCACACTGTCTGAAAGGGTCAGTTAAGTTCAGTTTGTACAAAGGGACAAAGTCATCTTTTCAGATACAAAGTGACATCTGGACACTCGTGCACTTGATCAACAAACTGTGCAGACTGATATTATCATTTGATATGTTTTGATTGTCTAATTGTTTGTTTGTTTGTTTGACTGGCTGAATTAACTGTATTAACAGGAGAAACACTGAACCCAGTGAGAAATGAGAACATTTTGGGTGGATGTTCCCTTCATGTGATGCTCATTGACTGACTAGTGTTCATTTTTGTGTTGCGGCCTACTATAGGACATCCAGTCTGTAAGCTACAATACTTTTTGCAGACAAAAGTCAAAATAAAAACACAGCAGCCCAGCCAGGATCAGCTGGCATGGATGAATCAGCCATTAATGGGTTGGTGTTTTCCAAGAGCAGACTTATGGCTCTGAACAAAAAGAAATCACATAAGAAATAAATTTCAGATATAGAAATAAAGTTCAGGCCTAACAGCTCAGAAATGTGCTTTATCTGTCTTGGCCAGCCTGTATTTCACTGTCGCAGCAGTCGCTGCAGGCTATGAATTGACAGCGATAACCTCACAAATTAGATTTGGCTCTCTGGCTCTGAGCTGTGCCAGATCCATTTGAGACTACAACTCTGCACTGAAACTTCCAAGGCTGATGTAGAAGAAATATGTTTGAAATTGAGTAGCATTGCACCTTACCTGGGAAAAAAGAGAGGATTTACTGGAAGACTCAGAAAGGTCAGAGCTTAAATCCTACATTTGGAAAAGGTATTTCACAATCATCCAGTTCCATTTTTGAAGCTGATCGATCGCACCTGATATATACTAGCGACACTGCCTTGTTTTGTTAGTAGCAAATTTAATAGGCCATCAATCTTTGTACATATACTGGCAGCTGCATATACCACAAGTAATTTACCTCACCTTGAAACTCCTCAACTCCTTTAAGGAAAGAAATATATATCCAGTTTCTTTCAAGGCATTGTATTCTTTCTTTGATTTGGTATCTCTCTGCCTTTAAATCCTGGGTTTTTTAGTTTGTTATTTTAGTGACACCTTTCAGTTCCTCTTCACCCCTCTCTCTGTAATTTCTTCACCCTGCACTCTGTGGACTACTGAGAGAGATTACAGATAGCTGGGGGTGTGGCAGTGCTGTAATTCAGAGGCAGAGGTTGTTCCTGTGTATGTGTGTGTGTGTGTGCACCGTGGGGCCTAAAACTCCAGCTCAACAGTAGCAATCTTATTACTTAAAGAGAAGAAGGGAGGGAGGAAGGGAAGGATGAAGAAACAGGACAAATTGGATTGCAAAGAGAGGACTGACGTGTAGGTTAAATGGTGGAAATAACAGGAAACAAAGAGATATGTTTTCATGTTAGCATCAAGTGAAGCCTCCCAACCTGCTTCAGCCTTTCCTTCACATTCAAACTTTGCTAGTTGTGGCCTTACTGGTCAATTACTGATGTCACTCATTTGCCCCTCAGAGCTTTATAATGATTCTTTTGCATCCGGTTATCAAAGTGATTTGACAGCCAGTATGCGGAAGAATCAAGGAAATTAACTGAGACAGTCGATAGTTTGAGTCCAGTCTGGATCTAGTAAAACCCCAGCAGGTCCTACTGTAGAAAAGTGGCTATTGATCTGCAGAGGCACTTGCAGAAAATACCTGGCTTAATCTCAGAGTGGGGTGAGGTAAATATAGAGGTGGGGAGAGTGAGAGATCTAATAGGATTAGTCTGAGTCACAGACGTGGGCAAACGCACGTGGATGCACACACACACACACACACACACACACGCACACAAAAACACAGGTTATTCCATGGCATAATAAACATAAACATAATGTGGACATGTGAGCAAACACACATGCTTGAGTTTTTTAGTTTAGTGGTATTGCTTTACTGCCCATTGGTCGGTCCACCACTTCTGACATGTCTCAACAACTTTTGGATTCTTTTTACATTCATGTACTTTTCAGGATAAAATTTAAGCACTTTGGAGATTCTGTTTTTTAACTAGCGCTATCATTAGGTCAGAATTCACAAAAGTTCAATTTGTCCAACACTTTTGTCAATGATTAAATACCTGCAAAGGTAATGACATTCCCATCAGCCATAGCTGTACTTTGTGTTTAGCACTAATTATCAAATGTTAGCATGCTAACAACACATACAAATATTGTGAACCTCGCACGTATTACCAGCTAAACATTCAGTCATGTTAGTATGACCTTGTGAGCATGCTTGCATTTAACTTAAATTGCAGCCGTGCCTAAATAAATAATTCAAGTGTGAGACGTCAAGAATATGCAAAATACTGTAATGGTAAAAAATGATTGTACATACACATCCATCCAGTATAAAGAATAATCATACACACCAGACATGTTTTTAATAAAGTAATTTTAAGTCTAAAGTACATTTTTTGATATATTTTATATTCCATGTAATTCAGTGAATAAAATGGATGTAGGTATCATGAAACTGTGTAACAGTCAGTGTAGCAGGGTCATGCCTCGCAGCTAAATGAGGGATTGTCTGTGCAAACAGTGAGGGAGAGGGAGTAATGGCAGATTGCTGCAGCTCAAACTGACCATTATGTACTTGCAGGGCAGGCAAACACCAGCAGGCACTAATTAAAAGAAATGTCTCAACCGGGTCGTGGGACGTTCATGGCTGTGCTGAAATTAAACTGCTGTGTGCCAAACAAAAGGCAAAGCAGAGTGTATTTTGATGTTTTAACCACTGTAGCTCAGACTAGAATTTTTTTTCCAGTGCTACCATGTATTTTTAACTGAACTGATGATTGAGTATATCTATATAGTTCAAGCTATATTGAGTAGAAAACAACCAAGCAAGCCTTTCATTATAAAAGCTTTTATTCATTCTTTGGTTTAAAAAAAGGCACACTTTAAAAACAGAGGAGAGACAACACATGAAAAGTTACTAAAAATCTATATTCATTTGTTTTTCTGATCTTCAACAAACAAAATGCTACAAAAGTCGCAATATGTAGTGAGGGGAAAACACTAAACGAATACACTGATGCTGTCAAAAGGTTTGACAGGAAATAAAAGAAAAAACAGATACATTCATGAGTAAAAAATCCAGGTCAAGTTACTAGGTAACAACCTTGTTAAACTTAAATAACACACTGGCTACTTAGAGCTAAACTTAACAGCAAGAGACAAGGAAGAGCAGTGGTTCCCAACTCAGGTCCCCAGATCAGGAGAGGATTCCTTTTACACAAAGCTATGCTTTGTTGTTGAAAATTACTGGATAATTGTACTTCTTCAGGACTCTTAAAAAGTATTCATTTATATGAAGCAGGGAAAATTGCACCATTGTACAACTCATTAAAGCCAGTAGACATATGCAACTGGTGATTAGAGGTTCCAAGTAGACATTGCCAAACAGGTTGGGAACCACTGAATAAAGCAGAGTATAGCACTGTATAGAAGAGATGTAACAGTTTGTGGTTGGGCTAGGTACTGCTTATCTTCTTCCAATTTGTGTTGTCTTCTGTTCAATGGGACACAAAGGGGGAATTTACATATATTGGCGTATGGGATAAGTCTGGGTGAAATATTATTTAAAACGGGGAACTTTTGGTCAAAGGATGTGTGCTGGATGCAATAAATAAAACAAAAGCTGCTAGCGGACTCTTCAAGAGTTAACTCTACATCTAACCTCCTCTCTTAAGAGAAAGGTCAAATAGTGGAGACAGTAATGTACAAGGAAAAACTTTTGTTCCTAATTTACTCTGCCTTTCCTCTCTTTTCTACTGCATTCTGTTATATTCCCTCCACCTTATCCATTTCCCCCCACTATCCCAGCTTTGTTCTATCTCCCTCATTCTTATCTCTGTATGCCAGAGTTCTCTCCATCTCTCCTCCTCATTCCTCTCCTTTTCATCACAGCTCGTCCCGTGCACTCCAGTTCTCCAGTTCAGACTGCAGTACGTCAGAGTTCTGGGCCTCAAAGCTCAGCTCCCCCTGCTCTTGAGTTTTCCTCGACTTGGCTCGGTCCCAGTCGGTTCTGACCGTCTCGTTGTCCCAGACCACTGATGTTTCCGTGTCGCTGATGTAGCCCTCGTCTCCTGTGTAATGGGTTGGATACACCAGAAGTGGCTCGGCAGAAAACGCATGCAGGTCCCGACTCTCAAAGTGGTCCATGTACTCTGATCTGATGAGTGAGAGGAGCGGAGATGCGATTAGATTAGCAAGAGCTCAAAAAGAAGAGCCAGATAAAGAGGAACAGAAGGAAGAAAAAGGGACGGTTGGGTTATACTCACACTGGATGTTTGTTGTACATGACAGGCAGGAACTCATCGACAGGAAGCATCTTTGTCAGAGGTTCAGCCCTCAGGAGCTTCTGAGCTCCTTGTAATGACAACATGTAGCCTAATGTCCAGTAGGAGTAGTCTGCTTCCACCAGATTGTGGATGTTTGGTACAGACGTCTCTGAGTGGTCCACCTGCATTCGCTTCCGCCCGATGTAACTGCATTAAAATAAGAGAGACAATAAGTAACACAAGCACTAAACCCAGTTACACCAGCATTTATAACAGCAAAATTTCAGACCTTAATGAACTTGGAGAGTGCAAAATGGTGGAAGTTATTACACATTAGCTGTGCTGCAGCATCCAATTTCGTATAACCATGTTCCACAAAAGAGCTGGAGCATGGTTTCTGTCTGCCGTGAGACAGTAGTGCATTAATACATTTTCATAGATTAAATGTGTTAACCTGTTGTCTAGCTTGCAAGTGAGCAAGTCACTGCATCACCAAGCTTCCAGCATTATTTATTTCACCACAAATGAACCCCTCTTTGCTCAGACTGTGCACTTAGGCAACAAAAGAAAAAGAATTCCCATATATAATGGAGACAATTACAGCTGCAAAGTGAGAGATTATTCAACACCGCAACACCAATGACCCCTGGATAATGTAACAGTACTATAAATTTACATTATGGACATTAGTGTGGAGTGTTTCAGTTTTGATTCTGAGAAATCATGTTTTTTTATTCAATTTGGAAAAGATGAAAATCAGAACACTTCAGTTGGGAACAAAATGCAGTGCCATAGTTGCAGAACGCATCCAAAATTCCTCCTCCTTCCAAAAATCTGTTGTTCTTCTTGTTCTTACAGTTGGACGTTTGATCTTCACTGTGCATAATTATGTATGTGCAGAGTTTAGCACTAGAAGGATGTTTTCACATTAATCTGCTGAAAGTGGAACATTTCTCTGAGCTCACTGAAAATCAGATTTTAAGGGGCGGGGCCTACCAACATGATTGACATCATGTGACATTACAAATAGTTTGGAAGTCAACCCTGGTCCTGGTTCTGAAAATTTAAATAAGGTAGAAGAAGGAGATGTCTTTTAAAACATTTTTAATGGGAACATTGCACTTTTTTGTGGAAAGAACATACCAGACACAAATTATTGTTCTGAGCAGGTTATTTATATATCTTGATACATGACTGGAGGGGATATTTAAACTGCTAAAAGTATTACAACATATATTATGATCTTTAGCCTCAGTGGTGCATGCAGCAGAATTTTGAACTCAGCGATTGGATGTCCCCCCCCATCAAACTCTCCTTGGGAGTTGTAGTTTTCTCCTCACACTTTTATATACCTTCCTACCGCAGGTGCTCATTTTTGTACAAATGATTCAACTGGGAGACTTTCATGCTCATACTGTACAAGCTTTGAAAGAGCTGTCTGTCACTTTGCACGGTCTGTGCAGAAAATTAAATGGACTTTTACATTCAGAAATAACTTATCCCAGTTTACTATCCTATGACTAAATCTCTGTGAATTTTAACATGCAAGAGCAGCTCATCAGTGTTATGTTAAAATATTCCCACATGTGTTTTCTGCATCTGATTAGTGCTATCTGAGATATCATGTGTGACAGATGGACAGATTTCACTGTAGGGGGACAATAATCCTCTGTTTACTACGTCATGCTTTCCTTCTGTTCACTGAAGCGTCACTCACATGAGATCCCAGTCCAGCTTGTGCGTTGTCACTTCCTGCAGCAGCGCCTGGAGACGTCGTTTGAAGAACACTTCGAAGCGGAGGTCGTCCTCGATGACCAGGGAGGTCTGCAAACCCCGATCTACGATCTACACACACAGAAACACATACACATGAATTTAGTGCAGTGCAGTGCTGCTGAGATGATGGTGAGCTGGCTAGGCATTAGTGTGATGGAAAGATTTCTTATATCCTTTACTGGCATCAATAATAATAATCAGAATTTCTTTTTTCAGTTCCCTTGTTCAAGAGTATAGGTGTTCACAATAACACATACTCTATATAATTATATATTATATTAAAAGTATACATAAGTTGCTTTCCATTCCGTTGCATTAACTTGGTTCAGGTGCTTGAATGTAGCTGGTTTAAATCCTAATACTAATGGTGTTCATTGGGGAAATTTTTTCCGGACAAATTATGCAGTTAAATTGTAAAGTCATAAAAAAAGGAAACAATCCAAAAAAGTACATTTCTTTTAGAAAATCTACAATATCTACAGTAAGAACATTTTCTTTTCTGATTCAATGTTGAACTAAACTGTGCACAGGAAGATATGAAAAAACATCGTCAGGTATCACCAAGTTGTTCAAAAAACCTCATTTCACAAAAGGTCATACATTTATTGAAACATAAATCAAACAAACTCATTACTCTCCGCAAGCTGCCTTTCCTCACACAAACTGAGTTACTGTGTTTTTCAGTAGTTAACGTTATCTACCACATACAGGCAGACCCAGAGGCCTGAGGCCTGTCCCAGCGTCTCACCTCCTTCCAGATGTTGTAATGAGAGAGGAAACAACCCAGTTCCCCCTTGGTGAGAGGTCGACCGTGATAAGGGTCTTTGTATCCTGGCAGCATCTTAATCCCCATAGACTCTATATCAGTCTTGTTCAGAGCTCTGAGAGAAAGAGAAGTGATAAACAAAAAGATTAAACATGATAACAATAAATCACATCGATATGAAGTGTGTCTTGAATAAAAATGTACAACGCAAATATAACAAAAGCTGTTTAGGTTTTATGAATTAAAATCAGGCTATAGTAGAAGAAAATATGTAAAACATGACTCAACCTGATTAATGACTGGAGAGCATTAATAAAGATTAGAGCAACATGTTCCTCACAAGCGAGCTAAATCTACGTGTTCTGGGAATCTTTTAATGACAGCTTGTACCCACTACTCTTCACCTGGTTGTTTGTCTCAGCTCAGCCTCCCTACATCAATCTACACCGAATGTTGCGGAGGTACAAATCAGGAAGACACAGGCAGTGGGGGAGGAAGAAGATGAGAAACGTACTTGCCATCCACAGCAGCAACAACCTTACAACTGAGCTCCTGCTCGTACAGAGTTCTTAGCATTCGCTCACGACGGTCAGATCTCCGCACCAGATTGATCATGAACACCTGGGTGCACACAAATTCAGAACCTCACACACATGCGTAGGAGTTGTGTGTGTTTTTGTGTGTGTGTGTGTGTGTTTGTGTCTGTGACTGAGTGTGTGTACCTCATCAAAGCCCATCTTGTTAGGCTGCTTGGGAGGAAGAGACAGGAAGCTGGAGGGCTCCAATGGAGGATTTTTCACTTTCAAAAGAAAAAAAGGGGAGTGGGGGTTACAAAGAGAATGTGTAATGTGTTGAAACAAGGAGTTTCCAAACTGTGGTCCAGGGATATTCAGGAGATTTCCAAGGAGCTCCCAAAAATGAACCGTACTTTATACATACAAGGATTTAGCAAGATGAGTAATTCTTATAACATGGAATCTATTTTGGGAGTCCCTGAATTACAAGGACATACTCACTTAATTTCATTTGCATTAAAAAGGCACTTTCTTGTGCACTGTTTTCTCTCCTGTTGTACTGTATGTGTCATCTGAACAGCTGTCCATGCTTTTAGCAGGAGTCATTTTGATGTGTGGGAAAAGCAAACAAAGTCTAATTAAGTATGGGATTTTTAGGCAGAGGCAAACAGTTTATTGTTTTGCTATGGTAACTGTAGTCCAATAAAACTTTAAAACTTTAGGCTGCTTCCAGAAAACTTGTCTTGCTTACTCAACCAACAAACTTGCAAACAAACTTGAACTCTTGACTCACCCATGACCTCAAGCTGAGTATGCAAGAAGCTCTCCACCTCATCCTGCAATGTAGCATGGGAACGCATTGGAACTGGGAAATATCCGTAGGTTTCTTTGTTGCACACATACATCTGCACATCTGAGAGGATAAAAGAGGAAAAACATGCTTACAGATATGTACAAAACACAGCTAGAAAGACATGACCAGCCCTCTGTTGCATTTGTCTCACCTGCAATGCGAGCAGAGTAGGCAAAGACGATGACATCATCTAGGGCCCAGCTGTACTCCGGGTGTGGTGGATAAAAAGCCAGCTGACGGGAGGCCTCTTTTTGTAGGTCTACTAGGTAGGTAGAGTGGACCATCGGTACAGCGAAGCAGCCGCGACGCTCCTGCTTACGGATAGGCATGTAGGCTGGTGTACGCTTGTAGTATCCCTGCAGGCACAATTGTATTATTTCCTCATAAATAAAAACCTGGTGAAGACTCAGAGGGTCAGACGGAACTTGATATGAGATATTTGACTGAGACTTGATTGAGAGAATTGGCTGCACTCAGTCTGTGAGTCTATGTACAGGATAACTGAAACTCCATATATTAAATTATTAGAAACTTGTGAACTTGATTGAGAAACATAAAATGTAACAAAGAAATTAAGTGACTGAGACTATGTAATACTGACTAATAGGAAAAGACATTGACCGACATGCTTATTGCCTTTAGGCAACAGGCCCATTAACTGTCATGGAAGAAAATGTTCCTTGTAGGAAGAAAAGCGGCAGACTCTTGGTTGGAGTTGGTTTATTTTGTGCTGGAGGATAGACCAAGTCCATATGTCTACTCTGATTTGAAAAGAAGCAAAGATGAGTACTTAAAGGCATCCTGGCTAGACCGAAATAGATCACAGACAGAACTGTATCCAAGACATGCAAACACATTAATTTCGGATACATCAGATGTTCAAGTTTGTCATAATCACACTGGCATAACTGTAATGACACCAGAATAACTGCATACTTACTCCCACACTGCCAAATGATAAAAAAACTAAACATCAATTAAAAAGACACTGGTGTCTTGGAGGAGCTGTGTAGGTTGTCTGTGTACCAGCTATATTCAACTGATATTGTGAAATATTAAGCCATATCAGATCAGTAAAGTTTCAGTTTACCTGTGAAACAAATCATTTACACATTTGCACAGTAATGTGAAGGAAAACGCTGTAATGAATACAATCAAAATGAGAAAACATCTCTCCCACGACTACAAATTGACTCATTTTCAGTGTTTTCTAAAGTGACTTATTTGCACAAATTTGATTTCCTCATGCATAAGAAAAAATAAGCAAATGTAAGATTCCTCCTCCTTGATAAATCAGTCTGTTGTTACAGCTTGTGTGTTAGAGTAAAACAGGATGCTCGTGGAAGCTTTATTATTGTAACATTTCTAGAGCTGTACTAACATACAGCCCATATATAATATTTGTATAATAGTCTCATAGGGACAGTATTTGGTCAGGTGTAGCTTTTAAATGACCTTAATTAATTTAAATGTTTAATCTGATTTCAAATCAAGTATTTACACCTTTCTTTGCCAGCTGCCAGAAGTGTTAATACATTGGTCAAAAATACAAACTGCCAGTGGAATATTTATACCACACCCATATCAGATGTACCTCATACAAAATTCAGTGTGTAAACGTGGTGCAAAGGGAATGAAGGAGCTGTCAGGTCTACCTGAATTATACAGGTGTCAGTGTAAAATATGTGAAGTACCTGTGAAGTCATGCCGCACCAGAAGTTAGAGTACGCAGCTCTGGACTCCAGCATGGGTGCTACAATAGTTTTGTTCTCGCTCATCAGCTTCCACAACACATCGGGATTGGTGAGCAGGTTGTCACAGTCAGCCACCTGCAGACGGAAGAGAAGGGCACAATACTGACACATTCAAACACACACAAAATGTCACCTACTGCAACTAAATGATTGATTGAACCGCAGCAACATGGTTCGAGAACAGAGAACTGTGAGTATACGCAGCTCCTTCTTAACTCACTTCATCTCTCAGCCCAGAACAAGCCCATCCAACAGACTGCAGCAGGCTGCTCTGTACTACATTTAATCCTTGTGTATGTTTGATGTGTCTCAAAAGAACAGTGAATGAAGACTGCTCCCATCCAACCTGCATTTTCTTCAGACAAAATATTTGTCCACCTGTATTGTATACTAATAAGTTAAAGCTGTGGTCATTCTTACGGTGACGTTTGGAACTGTACTAAACTGTTTCTACTAAAGCCTGACCGATAATCAGCCAGGCTGATATATCGGCTGATATTATCCCAGACGCATCAGTACAGCTTATATGTCGGCCAATAAGTAAAAAGAACTGCCAAAAACATTTCTGAGATAGTTTAGAAACATTTCATATTTGTTGAATGGACTGTACTGACAAACTGTTAAATCTCCCGCTTAGTACACATCTTTGTTATAGTTCTTTAATAGCTACATTTAAGGATTAAGTATTAAGGAATCCTTATGAAACATTTTGATTACAATAGTGATAAATGTAAAAACTAAAAAATCCATATCGGCAACAGGCACAACAATCCTGTTTTTCTCATTAAAGCCGTGGAAAGAAAAATCCTTTCTGAATGTCTGGCAGGTGTTACCTCAACACGATCAAAAATATTAAAATCCCAACTCAAGGTCTACTTACTGGCTTAAACGCTTGAGGAAAACATTTTAACAATCTCTAAATCATTGCACTTTATATTAAAATGCAGGTAACCATAGCAACGTTCATTCGACATTACCACCGGTTAACTCTTACTGGCAAATAAATGACCTAATCATGCATTAAACTGACTAAAACCAAATATCTGAACTAATTTTACTAAATAGAAATGAAACGTTAACATTAAACATTATAAAAACATGGTCTTTATTCGTGAGTATTCATCAAAAATGTATGTTAAGAAATGGTTTATTAATCATTGGTTTTGTCACTTTAACGTAGTTCTTATTCTGTTATGTTATGTAAAATATTGAGGGTTTTTTTTTCATCCAGATTTTTTATTTTTACCCTGTAGATGATGGATTTGTGGGTATTTAAATAGTCAATTCTCCTACTTACACACATCTCCTCACACATCTGACCCAGAGTCAGAGACATCTCTGAGAGTGCATAATAAAAAGAGGCTCAAGAAGCTGTTGAGTGGATGATAACATACCAGGAGGTAGTCGGCCCAGATCTCACGGGCAGTCTCCAGCGCTGCCTGGCGGAGCTTCATTACATGTTCATAACGGAGATTATTCCAGTGCTTAGGCCCCCCCTCGTCTTCAAAGGCACTGAGACATGCACAGACAGACCCATTAGGTAATCTACTCATTACACACACCCACACACACACACACACTCTCACACACAGTACCTGGGTTCATCATCAGGTCTCCACTCCACATAGTGATAGTAATTCTGCACCTTGATGAGCCACTCTCTCAAGATGGCTGTAGTGTTATCTACGTTGTGATCTGTCGCCACCCTGTGGGAGGATGACAGACAGCAAAGAGAGAGACAGGCAGAGAGACAGACAGCAAGAGAGAGACCATGAGTAAGGAGTAAGACGTGCACCTTGATCAGCAGTACCAACTGTGTAAGATATTCTTCTCACCGAGCCAGTGTCACGTTGGTTTAGAGGTGGATATAATGATTTACTCTTCTATCGCTGTGTGTCAAATGTTACATTAGAGCAGTGATATATTAAGGTGCACCGATCTGATACCCTGGAACATTGTTGTTCTCGACACTGCCCTTATTAAGACGTGACCAAGCTTCATAAAAACTGTTGAAATTCAGTGATTCCACCTTTAATCGGCTGCACTGGGCCAGTGACTGAATTTTGAGCAGCACAGCAATCCTTCTGCCTTATTTATTCATGTTTGCCAACAGTTATTATTCTGTCATTCACATTCTCACCACAGGAGCTCCATTGTTTTCTGCTCTGGTCCATTCATTTATTACAGTGAGCTCATACCTACATGTATATATCTGCATATCATGCTTTTAGTAAGAGCAATATTGAGTTGTATATCCAATATTGATATAATATTGATTTATTATCCATCTTGTTGTCATTTTAGCAGAGTTGCACATCACTAATGTCAGGCGTGGACAAAGAAGAAAAACGGCAGACAATAAGAAGGGGAGGACTGGCATTCGTCTGCTGTCTGTGTTATCATAACAAATCTGTGTGAGTGTGTGCGTGTGTCAGTGAGGCACACAGACACAGACAAAGCCAGAGAGAGAGGGGGGGAGAGAGAGAGAGGGTAAGAATGTGTAAATATGAGAGAAATGGATTTACTTCCAGCCCTGTCATGTAGTGAGTGACAGTCGGCGTGCTCCAGGTGTTAGTTTCCCATCTGTCCGTGGCGATTTAACACAGTAGTGCTGTCCCAGCACCCACATGTGACCGACTTACCAATCCATCTTCTTCTTCCTCCTCCTCCTCCTCTCTCTGCACCAGTCTACCTTTCCCTGTCTGACTGCTGTGGAGTTTTGAATGAGCAGAGGCAGTGAATAAAGAAGGGTTTATAGAGAGTAAATAGTTGGGATTTCTTGTATGCCATTAATAGTCCCATGGCTAAAGGATAAGACAGAGGAGCTGAGGGATTCATGGCTTGATAATATCCATCACACACACACACACACCATGAGTCTGCATGCATGTGTGTCGATCTTGCTGCTTGCCAAGTACTCCATCTTAACCTGTCAGGCTGAAAACTGCAGGTATCGACACGTGGCTGGCAAGCGGCTCAGTTTGTCTTCCACATCGCATTTCAAAACTTCTCCTATGCGTTCTTCAACTGAGGGAAAAGATGTGTCGTACATCAAAGCAACCACGCAGAAAACTGAGCACTGGCTGCCACATGGGCACAGTTAGACTCAGAGGCACAGAGGCTGAATGTCTGGCTCGGACCCAAGAAAGAAAGGCTCAACATCCAGGCTGGGTTCATTTAAAGAGACACACGGATACTTGGATCCGTCATTCAAGCTCCCACTGAAAAAAGTTCAATTCAACATTCACTCTCAGAAGGCACAGCACCCTCTGGGATCAAACAATCAACTCGCAGGAGTGAATAATGTTTCATTTTAATCCAAACTCACGGAGTCAAACACAACTCTGCTTGAGGCTGTTGCCTTTTATTAGACCTCTGCGTTTGACGAGTAATGTAATTTGAGATGTCAGGTGTGAATGCAATGAAAAGATTAACTTAATCTTTAAAAACAGATCTACTGGCACAGGATCAAAATGAGGAGAGGAAGTGAGCAGTGCTGGAGACAAGAACAATCTGGAAGTTCTGGGGGGGGGTGACAGAACAGGCAAAGGAAGGTAAAAATCGAGCAGTAGCAAACAAACAGCCTTCGACAGACAAGCTGGTGTGTACTGGATACATGTTTTGACACTACTTTCATTTTCATGTTTCATGTCCACTTTAAGACATTCATTTTTTTTTTATACCATACTGGTTTTGTTTCCATTCTGCAAGACGAAACTGTGGAAAGGGGAAGGGGAAGAGGGAGGGGAAAGAAAACGGGAGGGAGGAGAAGAGGAGAAGGGGGGGGGACCGGAGGGGCGATAGATCCGTGAGGGAATGGAACTTTTCATGGGCACGACTCTGCTTGTGCAACCGACCTCCGTGCCCCGCTACCGGCGCGTGTACAGCCACTCCACTTCGACTTTAATTCATTTCACCTCCGATTTGATTTGTTATGAAGCGGCTCGCTCCATTACCTGCATCTTTACGGCAACACAGCGCCCCC